AAACGGCCAATTCCCAAGTGCATCCGGATTTGATTTTGGCTCCGGATGCACCTAAAACATGTGTTTCTCCTCATGCATGTAATCCGTTTTATTCCGATTGCATGGGGCCCTGATTTTCTTTGATTTTCTCTGCAAAAATCAAAGAAAATCAAAGTCCTTTGTAACTGCCATATCCCAGAATGAATCTGTTCACGGATGAATCTCCCCAAGTGGCCGTTTTTGACCGTTAAGGCCTTTAAGGCCTTTTTCTCTTTTCTTTTCTTTTCTCTTTTTTCTTTTCTTTTCTTTTCTTTTCTTTTGCTCCTTTCTTGGACAGTAGGGACCTGCCAGTCCCTACTTGTGGCAGTCCCTACTGACGGCCAACTCACTCACTCCGTCTCACTCTTTTTTGTTTTATTCTCCCACATTTTATTTTATTTTCTTTTTTTTTTCTAGCATGCCAAGTGTCAAGTGGCCGTTAAGGCCCTTTTCTAGCCTCTTCCTTTTAGTTTTGGCCCTTCCTATGCCTAAAGTGCAGTCCGTTATATCTCGGATTGCAATAATGGCCTTCTCATGCCCATGGGAGCTTCCCTTCACTCCTATTTTCCTCCCATAATGGCCCCTCCTACTCCGATTTTCTCCCGGAGGCCTAGTTTTCGCATGGGGTCTCTTTTGACTCCATTTTCTTGGGGGAGGCTAATCCGAGATTTTTCGGATTGCTCCCATGCCTCCCACTTCAGTTTTCTTTACTTTTTCTTTTCCTTTTGGCCTTCCCGTTTGTTACCACTAGTGCAATATTCTTGGCCGTCAAGATGTCGATCTTGACGGTGCACCTGCCCTTATTATTTTCCTTCATGCGGTGTCGCCGTTTCTTCTTGGGACTTTCACATGTCCCCGCCACTTGTCCCGCCGGTGGTCCCCGACACTTAGTCCCGCCGGCGGTCCTCGGCACTTAGTCCCACGGGTGGTCCCCGACACATTTCGCCCCAGATGCCATTATTTTTACTTAGTCCCACGTGGCCCCGGGTGCCTTTCCCCGAGGTGTCCCACGTCCCTTCGGCGTTTTGCCGCCCCATGGTGACCCCTCTCCCTTGTCTTTTCTTGCGCCTTGTGCATGCCGATTTCTTTGGTCGTGGGGCCCCGCTCCGAGGCTCCCGTAAGTGGCCCCCACGTTGGCCCCTCATTCTCTAGCTTCCCCTGGCCCCGGGCTCATCCCTCTCTCGACTTCCTCATTCTTTTATCGCTGTCGTGCTGCATTTGCTGGTTCAAGGGCCCTTTGGCCTTAGTCTTTATTGCATTCCAACGACCCTCCCGGCCTCATGCTACGTCTTATATGCCCCTGCTCCTGCGCTTATTCTCGTGATGTTGCTGGTTTTCTCTTCCTGTGGTTTTCACCCCAGGACATCACTCCCTCCTGTGGCCTAATCCTTTGTCTTTTCTCTCTTCTGCCGCCTCACTCTAGATTTCTCTGTTGTGCACAATTCGTCCATATTCAGTCTCTAGAGTGATGGGAAGTTATTCGGGACTCACCAGTCCCGACACCGTACAGAATGAAAAGCCAAAGCACTATAGAAAGGTATGTCGTTCAAACGAAGATACTTCGTCCATCCATCCATCAGGCGAGAGAGCAGTCTACAAACTCATGCGCACAATCAAGACCATAGTGGGTAGGAAAAGAGACCCAGAATTAACTCAATAGGACATGCATTACCATGCACACAACCATGGGCAACCCTTGGCTGCACAACACTTACCTGACTGGCATGAGCTCTGAGATGAAGTACAACTCACCCCCCTCTCTCATATGGTCCTCCTGACCCCAACGGCGACCTCTACACTAGTGCCCTATCATTTGGGAGGGTCTACCCTACACCAAAGTACAACACCGGATCCCCTACCTATGTTGACGACCAAAGTAGCAACTTGCAGTCCTTCGGTGCAGATATGGCCACTTGCTCCAAGCTCGCCTACTTCCAGGGAAGCCCTAAAGTCACTCAATGTCCTCCAGATTGTGAGGCCAGGATGTGCTGATGTAGTTTAAACCTTATCATAGAACTAATGTCATTAGTATTATCATCAGAAGCTACTCTCATCATCATAGTATCGATAGTATCAGTGGCATCATCAGCAAATTTCATGAGGGATGCTGGGCCCCCAGCACGATCTGTTTCACCAACTCAAACTTAAGGTCCAGATTCCAGGTGTGAGTGCCTTTCCCTATCACGCCTCTCAAATTGCCTCATGAAGTCCCTCCAAGAGTCTAGTCGTAACAAGGTAGCTGTAGGGGAACCCCCAAACTTACACTCAAGCAACTTGGCCGGTTTATATGTCAAACCTACAAGTCCCAGCCACGTGGGGACAGCTTCCCCATACCATGCTGCCCCACTTTCCTTCAGGTACCAACCCTAACCCTAAGTAGTTAGCCCTCGACTACTTCGTTTAGGGTTGAGGCAGCCAGACCACCTCTTGCCAGCACGTAAGATCCGCTCTGGTACCAATGTTACAATCCTTCCTAATTCTGAAGTGCAAATACACAAGGAAAGACAATGCTGTTCAATTGCGAAGGAATTAAAGAACTTGAAAGGAGAAAGAGACAAGGGAAGAAGAAGAAATAAGAACAAAAGAAGAAGAAGAAGATGCACACAAGCACCCAATGACAAATCCATCCCCCTTCTCTTGCCACTCAATCTCCTCCTCCTCCCCCAATCTTATTCATCAATAAATAATAATAATAACAATGAATGCCTGAACCAGAACCAATGTCGGAATCGCCTTCTTACTGCCAGCACAACATGAGGTCCACCATAGCCATGACCTTCACCTCCAACCACCTTCGGCAGGTGATGGCTATGGCAGACTACTAGGGGCCCTGCCCCGATGTTTAAAAGAGAACACAAAAGCAGCTATCTCCTTTACAACTCGGACCGCCATGCCTGACTCTGCCTTGAGGCCTTCTTGATGTAGCGCAACCCCTACTGGGGCCTTCCAAGGAGATGAAGATGATGTCTACCATAGCCGGTAAGTACCCCTACCACTCTCCTCCTAGTCCCCTTCTTCCTCCTCCTCCTACCTGGCGCTATCCACCATAGCCGAGGTGGAAGCTCGGGCGCTCCTCCACACAGCGCTTCTCCCACCAAGCGTTCCAGCAGTGTGACGCCCAAACTTCCACACTGCAAACGAGGCAGACCGAAGTGCTCTCCTCCAAGATATAGTGGGAAACTTACCTCTTGGGCGGTGACTTCCAGTTCGTGCGGCCTCCTAAGCAACCAGTACCTCCTCCCTTTCGGCGGGAAACGTCATTGCAGGTCTGATATTGTCCGCCTCGGGCCCTAGACTCAGACTTCAGGACTGGTACCCTAGACCTAGGCCTACCGGACTCTAAAATTCTCACGGCCTCGAAAGGTACTAACTTTTTTGTCTTCTGCTGCTGGGCCTACCGCTACTCAAGTACTACCCTAAGCTACACGGGCCTACACTACCGCTACTCGAGTGCTAGCCTAGGCTAATTGAGTGTTTCCCCGCTGCAACCCTCAAAGTCATGGCCACAGGTAAGTACTGGCCCCGAAGGCCTCCCAAACAAACAAGTACCCTGGGGGGTCACACACACACGCGGGCACACATGCACTCAGACAGGCACATGGAAACCAGGAATCATGCACACACACACATACTTAGAAATCTCAGCAGAAAGCGGAAATCTCAGCACGGCACACATTCCAGCGGCAAAACTCAGAAATCAGCAGGGTTCTCAGTCTGTGTTTTTGCAGGTCATTATGAAACGGTTTTCACCTATGCCGTAGCAGATGCAGATCCCAGGGCTCGATCCCTAGACCTTGCCCTCACCCGTGTACAATACCATGTCGACTCCTGTGTGTTTGAACCCGTGACCTGTGTCTTGGTAGTTGTTTGTTGTCTGTCGTAGGTTTGCGTAGTCGTCGGGTTTTGAACCGTAGGTCTGTCAAGTAGGGGGAGCAGCAGTCCCGAAAGGTAAAATCGTAGCTGCTATAGTCCCAAAAGGCCAAGTCTACAGACTTCCGGAAGGTCTGGAAGTGGCCTTTCGAGAATTTCTCAGGTTAGGCTGGAGGCAAGTGGGCAAGTGGGCAGTCCAACCTTGTCTAGTCAGCGGTACCCAGTCCCAGTCGCACTTTGTCCAGTCAGCAAGTACCATGTGGGACTGTGTGCACCCTAGGACCGGTGGAAAGGAGCAGACCAGCGACCAACCGAAGTATAAATCAAGAGGCAGCATCCGGTTATTCATTCATTCAACCTGTGAGCCATGCGGAAGCGCTGCCGGAGCGACTTGTGCAAGGAGGTCTGCAGGTGCCCGAGGGAGAAGTGGGCTTGGAAGGAGAAGAAGCGGCCATAGCCGCTAGTTAGTAGCAGGGAGTAGAACCCATAGCTGCTGTAGGGTAGAGATAGGCTATAACGTGTATGCGTGTGAGTTCTCAGTGAAGTGTGTGCGTGTGTGGGACATCCAGGGAGATCCAGAGTAGCAGGCACGTGAACAGTTGCTGGGAATACAGTGTCAGAAGGGTGTTGTGAGGGCGCACAGGCGGCATAGCCATTCGAAGCAAGTTTGAATATGAACTGTGTTCTTGGCCTTGATATCTCTGAGCTTTGTGTGGGTGCTTGGCGCCAGTGTGATTGCCATCTGTTTGCATGCATGCCAAGTGAAGGAGAAGACGAGTCTGGTTGCAATTACATGCATAAGGCTTTGACTTCCCGAACGATTGGCTCTGGCTGCATATCATGTTGATTTGCATCTCGTGTGTGGAATGCGGTGTGATGAAGTGTGAACTTGTGATGTTGCAAGCAATAGGGTAAACTCGTGAGACTGTGGCAAAAGGGTTATTAATAATATTAAAATTTATTTTTATTTGTTTGTTTGAAATTATTTCCAAGGTTACCTGCCATCTGTGGTAAAGCCACAGTCAAGGGTTCAGCTGGCTGATCACAAAAGTCTCTCATGATTACTCATTGACTAGCGTGATTGTTATTGTCTTCATTGGCATGTTGGACAGCAAGGCTGATGACGTGGAGAGGATCGAAAAGGCCATGGCAGAAATGGAGGCCCAAGGACTGGATCCAAACTTGACTATATACAACAACCTTCTGAGTACATTTTCGCGATTGGGAAAGACGGATAAATGCCTCGATTCATTCACAAAGCTCAAGGTATTTGCTGATCCGATATTGGTGTATGAAGCTTCATGACCATAGCCATGGTTTTATCACTGATGATACCGTAGAATGCAGATAGACCTTTGCTATTCACTTATACACGCACACAGTTACACACAGTTGCACACAATTACACAAAAGTCCACCTGTCAATGTGCATGACAATGCTGCATGCGGGTGCATCAAATATGCGGAGGACATCATCAGTCCTCTTTCCAGTATCTGTACTGTGTGTCTCTCTCTCCCGCCAGTCTCAATTGGACTCTTTGGGCCTCTTCTACCACTGTCCCTTCTTCTCTCTAGCAGCCAGAGTCAGTGACAGGCACAGGCAGGTGATGGTTTTTCCACCTGGCATAGCTTGAGACCAGCAAAGATGCCAGGTGTGTAATGCAGCCTTCTGAATGAATTACGGGAGCTGCAAATGCAGTGTAGTTCAGTACGAATGAGAAACCACCGTACTGCAGGGAGATGGCACCTACTTCTGTAATGAGCGGAAGTCTCTTGGCTCAAAGTTTGTACAGCGAGATGGCTAGGGTAGTTGTGTCTTGACCCTCCTCTCTGGGGACGGTTATGAAAAACTGTGTAGTTGGGTTCCTTGGAAATAGCCTAATGGGTTTCTATGAGACTCTGTCCAGTAGGAGGGAAAATTTAGACTAGAAAGGCATGGAGCTATGAATGCCAACGGGCTGTGTGTGTCTCTTTCGTCAGACTTAGGTGATCATGCCTTCACATCATCCAGTTTTCCTATGTAAGTGCCATTAACTTCGTTCTATATCAGGTATTCAGGAACGCGTTACTTCTACTAGGAAGGAAAACCTGGCCCACCTATTTCATATACTCTAACAGTCTAACCCCGTAATGGATCATTCTCTTATATGGAGAATGAGACGACCTCCTCTTGCACAGACTTCTTCCTCACCTCAGAATCGTTAACACCACCGTCTTAACCCGAAAAAGCGTACGTACGTTGTATATGAATTGAATGTGCCTATGTCATACAATGACTTTTAGGGTACAACTTTGCAGGAGCCTGTAGTACCGACGTCGTTTTTATTTTTGTTGTCGAATTTGGTTGAGAAGTTCTCCAAGACCCGCGGACAAAAGTTGTTTGTATTGCTATCTTGTACAACATAGTTTTTTTAACTTTTTTCCGGATTTTTTGGATTATTTTGGAAAAATTTATGCTAGTCCCCGGGCGCCCGGGGCGTGCAGCCCGGGCAGGGTCCCAGGCAGTCCCAGCGCAGAATATTAAAAAGAAAATAGAAAAAGAACTAGGCTACCAGAGTGGCCTAGAACCACTCGCCCGGCTGGGCAAAACAAAATAAAAAAAAATAGAAAAACAAAAAATGTTTTTTAATTTTATGTTAAATTTGGTGCAGAATTTCTATGTGACCCTGCGGCAAAAGTTGGTCAGTTTATTTTTCTGCATAACATAGTTTGTTTTTCATTTTTTTTCTTCTAATGCTGGTGGGACCTTCCCTGGTCCTTGCACGGCCAGGCCGCCCAGGAAAACAAGGTGACCCGGGTGGCCCCGGCTGATAACCTAGAAAAGAAACCCAAAAAATCCGGAAAAGAATATGTTGTGTAAAATTGCAACACACAACTTTTGGCTGAGTGTCCCCTCAAAATTCCTTATCCCTGATCCTACTAAAAGTAAAAGCAGGCCTCGCGTTACGCTCGCCGTGGGTCCAAAACCCCCAGAGGGAAGGCGGTACCTGAGGGGTGCGAGGGACTGTGGGAGGTGCCTGGGGTTTTGATGCATCTGGCGCTGTTTCCTTTTTATTTTTTGGTCGTCGTCGTTTCACTGCGCGCGTGGGGAAGCTTCTGGATATTTTTGAGCCGTGCCGCATTGTTTCGTTTTGTTTCGGGGGACCGCGGTGGCAGGGGCGGGTGGAGCATTGTTCTGGTGGAAGAACCACATTTGCGGGGAGGACGAGGGTGGCGCACTTGTGAGAGAGAGGAGCGGGAGTAGGGGGGAGCAGGGAGGAACAACGAGGTGGAGGAGGACGGCGAATGGGAGCAGCGGCGGATTTCCCGCCCCACCGCCTCCAGTCCTGCTAGGGGCAGGAGGAGCGGGAGCAGGAGGAGCAGCAGGGGCGAGAGGAGGAGCGGGAGCTGGACGAGGACTGGGAGCGGGAGGAGGAGGGGGACGATGAGGAGGAGGTGAGGAAGTGGAGGAGGAGGAGGAGGAGGAACGTACAGTCATGATCTCTGTATCTAGACTGAAAGTTGCGCCAAATACAGCTACAATGGGTGGATAGAACGTGCAGATCTATGAAACACCGGCGGACTCGTCCGCGGGTCCGATCTCGGATGGCGGACGCAGATGGGGCCGCGTCCGCGGCCGACCTGGTCCGCACCGCGGACCCGATTTTACCAGAATTTTCCTGAATTAAATAATAGGTTAATTTTTATTTTTTTTTAAATATGGGGTTGTAGGGAATTTTAAGCCCTACAACCCCATATTCTGTTTTTTGGAATCCGACTTTGTTTAGGGGTTTAAAAAAATCAAAAACTAAATTCGATTTAAAGTAAATTAAAAATATATATATAAAGAAAAGCTGAAATTTTTTTTTCTCATTTTTTATCATGAGATATATGGTCCCTGAGTTCACCTGTATTTTTTAAGAAATGAATTGCTGTTTTTTTGCAGGGGTATGAGGTAATTTAAGAAAATGCAGATGCAAAATTTGAAAATAAAGAAAGAAAAAACTTCAAAAAAGGCGTTTGATTGATTGATTGATTGTGAGTGAGTGACTGAGTGTGTGTGTGTGTGTGTGTGTGTGTGTGTGTGTGTGTGTGTGTG